GGCTTCTATACAGCAATCCTCTAGCTTTGTGTCTGTATCATATCCCTGTATGTGTTTTTACTACAAGCGAGCTCGCAGCCCATTCAAACTACAAGAACACTGTGGTGTCAGACATTACTTGTAGTTTTTTCATTCACAGGAATCGGTGTGGGCAGAGTTCGCATAGCTACACTGTTTTCAAAAAGTGACAGTGGGTGAGGGGAGACTATCCTTCATCCATTGTCACAGAGATAGGAGCACTGGAAGGTGGGGGGGGGGGGCGTGCTTAGAAGCATGTTACACCCCTAAAGGTAACATGTAACATGCTCCTAAACGTGAACCTATCCTTTTGACTTTTTGTTTGTTTTTTTTCTCAAATTGCTGGTAATAGCAGTTTTTAGTAGTGTTCAGAAGCATTTGTTTTGTTAGCTTTTTTTACAGTACATGTAGAGGGAGAAAAAGCTGTTAGGAGCGTTTAGGCGAACTTTGATTTTTTTATTTTTTTTTCTGTGACTGGACAAATGCTCCAAAAACTTTACAAATGCATTTTTTTTCTCTTCATAGACGCTGAAGCTCAAAAAATGCTAATAGCCTAAAGTAGTGTGCATGGGCATATAGGATAAACACTAGCTTCTAGGAGCTTTAAGAAAAATGCTAGTGGGCATGGAGTGTTTAGTGTATATCCCTTTTTGAATTGTACCCGTGAAGAATTTTGGTTCAAGATTTTCTAGTTTTAAGATGTAAGGTACATTAACGTCTACCAGATGCATGTTTACAGATTTTGCACACATTAAAATGCACTTTTTAGGCACGAAGATTAGCTAAAACCCCCATTTTAAAGTAGAGATTCTGGAGAATTAAATGGTGGTAGTTGAATTTCTTATGTCACATGATAGTTGCGCTCTAATATTTTTTAGTAAAATTTCTTGATTTGGCTATCTGACAGGAAGTGAAGGGAAATGTCCCCTATGTGAGAGAGCTGCAAAAATTGTCAGGGGTGTAACCTGCTCTTGCTATATCTAAAACGGTCTTTTTGGTTAAAACCCCCAAATAAAATGCTGTGAATTCCAAATTTTTATATCTCACAATATTCGCACAGTGGTATATCCAGTGCAAATATTAAATATAAAATATGTTAGTGTTACTAAACCCAAAACCAAATCAGTCTGTAAATGCAGTAAAGCATGCTTGTTGTACTCACTGTGGGACCTAAGGGGTTAATCCTCCGCATTGTGTAAAAAAAAAAAAAAAAAAAAAAAAAAAAAAAAAGGGGGGGGGTGTGTCAGAGAAGAGGCTCAAACGGCTTTTATTTTTTTTTTTTTTTTTTTTTTTTTTTTTTTTTTTTTTAAATACTGTCCCTAATATACCTTCTGATAGAACAGAGGCTTGGAGGCAAAGCTGCACATGCTCATTTTGTGTATTACTAGAGAGCTTTTTCTTGGGAGGGTGCATGTGATAAGCACGGGGCCAATCAGCACTGTCCAGGCACAGGGTCATGGGTCGTGCATCATAGGACAATCAGGGAACAAAGAAAAATCCTCATACAAGCTTTAGCTAGTGGTGGGCTGGACACAAGTCACAAGACTGCTCTAACTGCTGATTAAAAGGTATTTAGCAGTTTTTATTTACTAAAGTAATTACCTTATTTTTCGCTCCATAAGACGCACTTTTTTCCCCCCAAAAAGGGGGGAAACTGTCTGCGTCTTATGGAGCGGCCGGTCCGGTATTTCCACAGCCGCCGTGTCAGAATACTGGGCCGGCCGCTCAGCGCTGCAGCAGGACCTTACCTGTTCCTTGGTCCAGCGCTGCACAGTCTTCCCACGCCGGCTTTTTTAGTGTGGGCTCTCGGCTTGACAGCCGGGTGCCCAGTGCGTACGTGCGAGAAGCACTGCGTTTTGTGAATGGTGCGGCGTCTTCTGGGACACATGACAGGTCCCAGAAGACGCCGGACCAATCACAAAGCGCAGCGCTTCTTTAGTGTCCTCCCCACACTAAAGGGAGGACAACTCCATGGAAGTGGGAGCAGGTACCTATCAAATTCAGGTACCCGCTCCCCCTCCCCAAAGGTCAGCAGTCATCCCCTGTACTGTGTCCGCAGTCTCTGGGTCCCCCCCTGTACTGTGTCCGCAGTCTCTGGGTCCCCCCCTGTACTGTGTCCGCAGTCTCTGGGTCCCCCCCCTGTACTGTGTCCGCAGTCTCTGGGTCCCCCCCTGTACTGTGTCCGCAGTCTCTGGGTCCCCCCCCTGTACTGTGTCCGCAGTCTCTGGGTCCCCCCCTGTACTGTGTCCGCAGTCTCTGGGTCCCCCCCTGTACTGTGTCCGCAGTCTCTGGGTCCCCCCCTGTACTGTGTCCGCAGTCTCTGGGTCCCCCCCTGTACTGTGTCCGCAGTCTCTGGGTCCCCCCCCTGTACTGTGTCCGCAGTCTCTGGGTCCCCCCCCTGTACTGTGTCCGCAGTCTCTGGGTCCCCCCCCCCCCCCTGTACTGTGTCCGCAGTCTCTGGGTCCCCCCCCCTGTACTGTGTCCGCAGTCTCTGGGTCCCCCCCTGTACTGTGTCCGCAGTCTCTGGGTCCCCCCCCCCCCCCCCCCCCCCCCGTAGTGTGTCCGCAGTCTCTGGGTCGTCCCCCCCCCCCCCCCGTAGTGTGTCCGCAGTCTCTGGGTGTCTTCCCCCCCGGTAGTGTGTCCGCAGTCTCTGGGTTCCCCCCCCCGGTAGTGTGTCCGCAGTCTCTGGGTTCCCCCCCCCGTAGTGTGTCCGCAGTCTCTGGGTGTCCCCCCCCCCCCCCCCGTAGTGTGTCCGCAGTCTCTGGGTCCCCCCCCCCCCCCCCCCCCGTACTGTGCCCGCAGTCAATTGATTCAGAATATTTTTCTTCTTGTTTTCTGCCTCTAAAACCTAGGTGCGTCTTATGGAGTGAAAAATACGGTACATTTCCATGTTGTGTGTACTGTGGAAGACCAAATATAGTGAATGTAGGGTTCTGGGTTTAGTAACACTTTGATTTTAGGGCCTATGAACACAATATAATACAGTTTTTTGGTAAAATATAAAAGATGAGATTGCGCCCAAGTAAATACCCAACATGTTGAACCTTAAAATTGTGTGCGGCTATGAAACTCGGTGCCCCAAATTTTCCATATGAAACCTTTTAAAGGCTCCTAAAATGAATTTGTTTTAAAGCTAACTAAATCATAATGCCCTAGTATTACGCACTCCAGTGTGCCTGGCAGTATGTAGCGTGTAGTGCTGTCGACGTATGTGTGTGTTTTATTTATGTAGATTGGGGTGCAGCAGGCTCAAAAAATTTTTTCGAGGGTAGTTTAGAATTTGGTTGTAGTTAGCATTCTGCTATGACAAGTTATCTTTAGGATCCCCTGATGTCTCACCTGCCTTCCACGGATACTAATGGTGAGCAGATTGCATTTGTTTCACATCCAGGGAGCGTGACATTCTAGCTAGGGAAGATCAGCAAAAGAATGAGGGATAGGGGTTGAGTTGCATGGTTAGCTATAGCCTAGGAATCCCCACTTTGAGTCAGATCAAGTGTTTGGCACTGTTCAGAACCTACAGATGGGTGCCCTTTGTGTTGTTGGACACAGAGATGGTACCAGGATGTAGGCATAACAGATGCTCTTAATTCAACAAGATTGAATAGTTTGCAATCATTGGGGCTATGGTTTGTCATAGCTAACATGATGTAGATTGTTTGAGACTTTTACCGCATGACCACAATCTCCTCTTCATTATACCTATATCTCTCCAATTTTAATTATGGTTTTGTAAAAAAAACATTTAAAGAACAACTTCAAGCATCTTTCACTTTTGCAGTCAAATTTGAGAAAGCACCACTATGTCTGTGTTCCCATTCAAACAGCATACCTTGGAGGAAAAAGATCTCTTAAATAAAAAAATATCAGCACAAAGGAGACATTATACTGACTATAAGTTTGTGTCGATTGATTGAATTATTATTATTTTTTTTACTTTAACAAGCAGTGGAGCTTTTAAAGAACTATGGACAGAAGTTCTGTTGAATCCCCCAGAGGACTGATTTCACTAAAATCTTTCCAGTGGTGCAGAAATGAAACCACATTTTACCTTGCTGAAGTACACAATATGGACATGGCTATGGGTGATGTACAGTCAGCATGGAGACCCCTTTCCTTTTTTCATTCCTCAGCCCTCTGCCACTTCTGAAGCCCTGTGCTTGCTCTGCTGCCGTTATTTTACTGAAAGGAAAAAGCTAACGATCCCAGACACATGCCTGCCTGCTTCTGCCTGTTTTTCAGAGGACGGTACACATGTAACTGTAGACTTGTGCTGTAAATGACAGCACTGGTGAGCATCAGACAAGTATAGTAAATGGTTGTCTGATCTTGTGGGCTTGTGGTTTATTTATTTTTTTTAATCATTTGTACTGCCTTTTTCATTTCAGTACAATCAAGGCAGCATAGTGAGCTGAGGGCTTCAGATGTTCATGGCAGCAGTGAGGGGAAATGGGGTTGGAGTCTGTGCAGGCACTGTCTGCATGCCTTAAAAGGTGAGGAGTGCTGTGAGCTGCAGAGGTAGCCACTATTTTTTGCTTTGTGGCCACAGCAGGAATTATACGTCCTGCACTTCAAAATACAACCTATTCAGGTAAATGGGGACTGAGACTGAGCTCTGCAGTCACTTTTTACAGCAGTTATTTTCTTATTCCGGGTCACAATCCTACTCAATGTCCTTTTTGTCTCAGTCCATTTCGACCGCTCTTATGCTTATCGGACAAAGTTTATTCTGAAACTGTATGTCATCGTGTGTATGTGTGTGTGTCTATGTATATGTATATATTCTATACTGCAAAGGCAGGCAGATGAAAGTGTACAAAATAAAGATTCTCTCCAACCCCACTTCAAGTGAATGGGACCATTCCTGTTGCATGTGCACTTCTAGCCTAACTTTTGAAAAGTTACAAGATGTACCAAGTGAACGTTTGCTTATAAATTCAAAAGTCAAATAATGGCACTAATCATAGATTCTTGTTTTGCAGGAAGTTGCTGTAAAACTTGAGTCGCAGAAAGCCCGTCACCCACAGTTGTTGTATGAAAGTAAACTATATAAGATCTTGCAAGGAGGAGTTGGTATCCCACACATCCGGTAGGTTATCTTTCTAAACATTTGTTCTGTTTGAATATATTTGTTTAGCTTTTGATTAGATTTTTAATATGGGTGTTGCCTTTTTCAGAGACCAGCACACATGTCAAATGTCTAGTTACTTTTTTGACGTATAGGGCTTTAGTATCTATGTTAAGTGAATAACGCAATGCCAGTGGGATAGGGAAAAGTTAGGACGTTTTCCTGATTTAGCTGGATTCACTTTTTTCTTTTAAATGTTTCTTCAAGCTTTGCCTGAAATAAAGTCTTTAATAAAATTGTATTCTCTTTTATAGGTCATTTAAGGTTCATGCACACTGGGCTTAAAAAAAAAAGCCAGTTCTTTTGGCAGAAAAAACTCTACTATAGAACTTTTTTGTACAGTAGATTTGGAGCATAAACTTTTTTTTTTTTTTTCTGCCTCTAAATGTTCAGCTTAAAATGGTCATAAAGGCTCAAGGTTTGTTACCTTCATGCATGAAGGTAAAAAAACTTTTCTGTGCTCCTGTCCCCCCCTAATACCTAAGCCCCCTCTCAATCCAGCGAAGTGCACTGCAGTCTCTGCTATCCCGGAACTCCTCCTCATTGGCTGAGACAGCTGCTGTCATTCACAGCCAATGAGGAGAGGCTGCAGGGCTGAGCCGCGGCTCCATGTGTGAATGGACACATGGAGCAGCGGCTTGGGAACGTGCCTGCTCTGGTGCCTCCAGAGCAAGCAGCTTGACAAGAGGGAGGGGCCAGGTGCGCTGGTGGGAGACCCTGAAAAGAGGAGGATCCGGGCTGCTCTGTGCAAAACCACTGCACAGAGCAGGTAAGTATAACATGTTTGTTATTTTTATTTAAAAAAAAAAAAAAAAAAAAGCCTTTAGGATCACTTTAAAATATGCCTCTAAATGTCCTAATCTGTTTGGACTGATAGGATAACATTGAGCTGCATCTACAGCCAAAACATAAAACTCCCGTAGAAGCAACATATTTTTTTTTTTTTTTAAGCCCATCGTGTATGGAACCTTACTGTGTTACTGAATGTTACAACAAAATAAATCAATGCAGTTTATCCAACAGTGTCACATTTTATTTAACTGTTGTACTTTAATGGTGAGGTGCTAACTTTGTGTCTATATAAACCCTTACCTTGTAAAGCAACCCATTCAGTTTTAAATAGAAATGAAAGGCAAAACATTTGTGTGTACGTATAATAAACATACCTCTGTTCTCCGCATACGGAATTTGGGAAGTGGAAACCGCAGAACACTGCTCTTCCCAGTGAGCGTCTGTGCAAGGGGGGGAGTGTGAGCAGAAGTCTGGTCATTGGAGGAGGTCAGCCTGAGTTTTCAGCACAGCCAGAAAACTGATCACACTGTGCCCTCATGCCTAGAGTGGTCAGTTTTAATAGGAAAGCAGAGGAGGGACTGGCAGGAACAGCAGGGATTACACACAAAGGAAGCAATACAAAGAACAGAGAAAATTGATTAAAAAAAGAAAATTTAAAAACATGTAAGGTGCCCTTGTCCTCCCATGCTCACATGCAAATTTGAATGCATCCCCCTGCATGCATACGTAAACGTGATTGGCACCACACGAGAGGTATCGCTGTGAACGTCAGAGTGAGAACAATAATTCTGTCACCAGGCCTCCTTTTTAACTCTGAACTGGTAACCTGTAAAGGCTTTTAAAGTATCGCCTATGGAAATTTTTAGGTACTGTAGTTTTGTTCCCAGTTCAAGCAAATTTAAAGCATGACATGTTTGGTATATTTTTACTCTTTTATATTTTCAGTATGATATTGTGTTTGTGCGCTAAAATTAAATTGTATTTTTTCTGAAATTTTGCGTTTTTATAAACTACTCCCATTTTATTCTCTAGGTGACTTTACTTTTAAGGAAATGTTTGGAGGTTCTAAGTAATTTTTACAGAAATTAGTAAATGTCGGAACTGGCTTCCGACGGCAGGTGGTTAAATACATGTAAAAGAAAGATGCTGTACACCTGTAGTGAATGTTTGGTGAATGTCACATTTTTATAGATATAACCTAATATTTTCACAAAAGGGAAAAAATGTACAAGACGAACCTCAAACCAGAAAGTGATTGTAAAGGCTAAAGGTTTTTATACCTGCATGCATTCAATGCAGGAAGATATACCTTCAGTGTGTCACTCCCTCCCACTTTTCAATACTTTCCTGAGCCCTTTCCAGTGATGTGCACCAACAGTGGCTTTCGTGGGTCTCTCCCTCATTGGCTGAGAGACAGCAGCGGGAACCATCGGCTCCTGTCAGTCACAGTCAGTGAGGAGGGGGTGGGGTTGAGCTGCACTCTGTGTGTCTTAGGGACATACAGGGTTGACTTGGGAGTACTCAGCGGGGGGTAGGGGACAGAAGCGCCAGAGGGGGACCCGAGAAGAGGCTAGGGGATGCTCTGTACAAAACCATTACGCAGATGAGTATGAAATGTATTTTTTCGTCTTTTTATTTTTGCTGAACCTTTTATCACTTTTAAGTTTTCCTTTAATACACAAATAGGTTTGTTTACTGCTGTCTATGCGGTAATAATGAGCCTCGCAATAATGAGATTCACAATAATTTTACCAAGTGTATATTAGTAAGATAATACAACTATTCCTGGTTCAGCTTCACTGCCCTTTTTTTTGGATACAAAATGGCTGTGAATTAATTTGTTGCCCAGTAAGCAAGCTGAAAGCTGCAACACTAAACCAGGAACTAGTAGTATCAGATGCCTGGCATGGCTATACAGAATTTCAGATCTTCCAGCAGGTGAGACTGCGCACATATACAGTATGTATTTTATGTCTTTTAAGTTCTGGTTACTAAAATATTGTCCAGATCTCTGAAATCTGTTACTAGTAAAATAGGTATTCCAGTGACCAGCAGGGCTGGCTCTATGACTAGGTTCCCATCTGTGAGGGGGTTTCCTGCTGCGTGTCCGCACCTGTTCTCCAGCCATAACCACCCGCACATATGGATGCATGCAGATGACACTAATCCTAATGGCACGTCACATGCACTGGAAATCAATCCCGCACTGGGAACTAAAATGCACTTGCAGTTCCTGTACGGGCTGTGATTTTTAAAATGCTGCAGGGACCTTTTCCCTGCATTTCAGGAGTCGCAGCAACCCATTCAATTAAGTGGGATGCCGTACCTGCTCAAAACACAGCTCGCAGAGCCGCATATGTGTACACCTTGAAGGGTTTGTGAACTACTAACATAAGTGACCTTGTCAGTAGCTAGTCACTTGTTTCTAAAAGCAAGGAATGTATTTACTTTTTCTGGTGGCCTGTATCTTGAAAAACCCTAGAGATGCTGCTTTCTTTTAGGCATCAAGCTTTTGGATGCCATCAACTGTGTTAGGGCGACATAGTCCTCTGCAGCATCCTGTCGAGATAGCTGCTGTTGTGGGCAACCAAAAAAATGCCAGGACAACTGTTGAATATGGTCGTGTGCTGCACATAGTGACCGCCACTATGAGTGGATGCTTCTGGGGAGAGCGATTCAGGGACACGTGTGCATGGCCAGTTTAAATTCTCACTGAGAAATAGTCAGTATAGAGCAGTGGTTCTCAACCTTCCTAATGCCGTGACCTTTTAATACAGTTCCTCATGTTGTGGTGACCCCTTAACCATAAAATTATTTACCCAGTAATTATTCATGTATTTCATTTTACCTCCAATACTGCTGCTTTGAACGCAGTAGCTGCTTTGAACGCAGTAGCTGCTTTGAACGCAGTAGCTGCTCTTTACACATTGCAAATATGTGTTTTTCCGATGGTCTTAGGCGACCCCTGTGAAAGGGTCGTTCGACCCCCAAAGGGGTTGCGACCCACAGGTTGAGAACCACTGTTATAGAGGCTGTTCCTCATTATTGCCATGGGCAGGAGTGCTTGGGACTTTTTTTCTTTTTAAATAAGATTTAATTTATCAATATAGTTGCAAATTTAACAACCATACAAAAAATAGGCAGGAGGAGGGATCAGGGAAGGACAAAGGGGAAGTAAAGAAAGCAATCATAGCAGCAATTAAACAAAACAATTTCTTCCATCCTTTGTTCAGAATATCATTTACAGAGTGAGCATTAAATAAGGGACATGCAATAAAAACACCTAGTTGAGTTACAATAGACAAACACTGTTTCGTGGGACTGAAAGATCACAAGAGACATGCCCACAACTGTATATGGTATTCAGTATTACCCCTGGAAGCATTGCATAAACCAGTTATGAAAAGTATATAGGGTGTGGCGGTTTGGCGTCTAGCTTATAATACAGAGCCCAGGACCAAGGTGTGTTTTTTTTATAATCAGATTTATTTGCATTACTTTTATGCTGGTAACTTAGTTTCTCAATAACTACTAAGCACTTTTTTTCCAAACATTTAATGGGTGATGGTAAAGGCTTATTGCATCCTCCACAGCCTAATGATTAAGAGTATCTGTAATTAAATACCCCAAAATATACATTCTAACTGCATATGGAAAGTCATATATAATTTATAATACCATGCCAGTGTAACATGAATAACTGAGTAAGTTTGCATGTCAGGTATAAGAACACTTTTTGTAAGTCCTGTAACATTCCATTACTCCTCTTAAGACAATGCCCAGATCTATTTCCCTTGGTTTGCTTTGGAGAGGGTATTTCGAGAGAGATTAAAGTAAGAAATGGGTATAGAGGTGAGATATCAAGAGTGAGCTTGGATTTCAATATCTAGAAGGACCATTAGTACAATGGCTAGGTCTAGGGGTTTTGTAAAGCATGCTGGGTTTTGTAGGTATTGATTGAACAAATTATTGAGGTGATATTGAGGGTATCTTGGGAATACATGTGCTGCTGCAACAATGCCAGGTTTCTACCATTGGGGAAAATGGAAGAAGCTTGGATATTTCTGGGAGATGCTTATTGGACCAAAAAGGAGTATATTTAGGGAGGCTTCTAAATTCTAGTAAATGCTGAGACATTAACTGCATAAGTTTCTGTAAACCAATAAAGCCAGTTCACACTATGACAGATGTTTTTACTGCTTTGCAAAATGTCGGTTGCTGCAATAACACAAAGGAAACCATTTTTTTCCTGTGTCTCCCATTCACACTGCAATGCAGTGTAGCGATGAGCTAAAATGCAGACGTGCTGCATTGTAACACAGTGAACGGCCCGTATTACACTGCAGTGTCGCATAGCACATCACATTGCCCAACATTACAGAGAATGAAGTGTATACGTTTGTAAACTTCAAATAAAGCTAGTATAAAAAACCCAAGAAACAAACAAAAATAGGGTGATGCACTGAATTACGCATAACATTGCCCCCTAGCACAGCTGGCAATGCAGAGCTGCGGCTGCTCTGTGAATTAACTGGGTGACGGTGTGAATTTACCCTAATACAACTGTCGCCAACAAAAAAAACACGCAAAGGAACAGTATTCACTTATACTGCTCCCACTGCCTGTGCTTAGGATCTCGACTCTCCTGCATGTCATCACCTGTCAGTAGACTTTTCAGTATCCCACCCTTCTTTGTATATTTGATCCTTCACTTGCAGAACTGTAGTTCCACCTGCTGGCCACAATGTCACTAGTGTGTCCCACAAATATGGTAGTTATGTGGCTACTTACAGGGTCATGGGTTGGATTGTGAACTGTCTTCAGAGTGATTACTCCCTCCAGCTACTAATGTCAGCCTTTCCAACGATATATGGCAATTTATGTAGACACAGTAATACAATTGCTTATTTTTTTCTGTGCTGCAAAATTCATCCACCCTGCTAGCCACTTAATGGTAGTTCTTATCATACACATGTGTAATATTGTTAACACATCACACAACATATACAGTGGATATAAAAAGTCTACACACCCCTGTTAAAATGTCAGGTTTCTGTGAAGAAAAAAAATGTAACAAAGATAAATCATTTCAGAACCCTTTCCACATGTTCAATTAAAAAACAAACTGAAATCTTTTTGGGGGGGGGGGTGGAGTAAATACAAATAACTAATTGGTTGCATAAGTGTGCACACCCTCTGAGGATGTAGTTGTGTTCAGAATTAAGCAATCACATTCAGAATCATGTTAAATAGGAGTCAGTACACACCTGCCATCATTTAAAGGGCCTCTGTTTAACCCCTAATAAAGTTCATCTGTTCTAGTAGGTCTTTCCTGACATTTTCTTAGTCTCATTCTACAGCAAATGTCTTTGTCCTCAGTGAGCTTTCAGAGCATCAGGATGATATCATTGTTAAAAGGTATCAGTCAAGAGAAGAGTACAAAAGAATTTCCAAGGCATTAGATATACCATGGAACACCGTAAAGACAGTGATCTAGTGGAGAAAATATGGCGTAACAGTGACATTACTAAGAACTGGACGTCCCTCTAAAATTGATGAAAAGGTGAGAAGAAAACTGGTCTGGGAGGCTGCCAAGAGGCCTACAGCAACATTAAAGGAGCTCCTGGTATATCTGATGAGTACTGGCTGTGTGATACTTGTGACAACAGTCTCCCGTATTCTTCGTATGTCTGCGCTATGGGGTAGAGTGGCAAGACAGAAGCCTTTTCTTACGAAGAAAAACATCCAAGCCCGGCTAAATTTTGCAAAAACACATCTGAGGTCTCTCAAAAGCATGTGGGAAAATGTGTTGTGGTCTGATAAAACCAAGGATGAACTTTTTGACCATAATTCCAAAAGATATGTTTGGCGCAAAAACACTGCACATCACCAAAAGAACACCATACCCACAGTGAAGCATGGTGGTGGCAGCATCATGCTTTGGGGATGTTTTTCTTCAGCTGGACCTGAGGTCTTAGTTAAGGTAGAGGAAATTATGAACATTTCCAAATACCAGTCAATATTGGCACAAAACCTTCAGGCTTCTGCTAGAAAGCTGAACATGAAGAGGAACTTCATCTTTCAGCATGCCAATGACCCAAAGCATACATCCAAATCAACAAAGGAATTGCTTCAACAGAAGATGATTAAAGTTTTGGAATGGCCCAGCCAGAGCCCAGACCTGAATCTGATTGAAAATCTGTGGGGTGATCTGAAGAGGGTTGTGCACAGGAGATGCCCTTGCAATCTGAGTGTTTTTGCAAGGAAGAGTGGGCAAATTATTGCCAAGTCAAGATGTGCCATTCTGATACTCATACCAAAAAAAGGGTTGAGTGGTGTACAAAGTATTAGTTTAAGGGTGTGCACACTTATGCAACCATTTTTTATTTTTACTTCCCTCCACCTAAAAGCTTTGTTTGTTGTTCAACTGAGTTGTCCAGTTTATTGGTTACAATAAAGGTGGAAAAAGTTCTGAAATGATTTCTTTGTCTCATTTTTTTACATCACAAAGACCTGACATTTTAACAGGTGTGTAGACTTTTTATATCCACCGTAGTTGGCCAGACTAAAACATCAGCATTGTTTGTTTGTATATGTATATAAAGTCCAGAGGAAAGTACCTTACATTTAGCGCCGCATCTAGTGCATCCCTCAGTGGAATATTTGAACTGTTCACTAATTTTGTATATTATTGCCACACTTACTTAATGTTGGTTTTACTTTTAGGTGGTATGGACAAGAAAAAGATTACAATGTTCTAGTCATGGATCTGCTTGGGCCAAGTCTCGAAGATCTGTTCAACTTTTGTTCGCGCAGGTTCACAATGAAAACTGTGCTTATGTTAGCAGACCAGGTAACTTATATTATCTGTTCTAGAGGAGGGAGATATGCTAAAACTTGTCTCTGCACACCACCTTCAGCTTCCACTGTGTTCAAGATCTGAGTGGAATTGGTCTGATGTGTGTAAGCAGAGAAAGCTGGAAGGGGACTGCAGCAGACATTTCAAAAAGACGTCATTGTGTAACTGTACTTTATGATCATGCACAAAAGCCTTATACTAAGCCACAGGAACACAATCAAACTAAATATTTCTAATCATCAAGTTTAGCTACAAGGCATGCTTATAGTGGTTACAGCATGAGCTCCATTCTGTGGAAAATGGGTGCCAATGGGGACTGCCATTGTACTTCATGGCATGGCCTGTATTTACTGTCGCACATTGTCCTCTGCTCAGGATTGAATATAGGCTGTCGGCTAAGAACCGGTAGCTAAAGATAGGGTTTTGAATCTTTGAAGGGCAGCTATTCCTGAGGCTGTAGGATGGCATAAATTTAAAAGAATGCTTGAAACATGTTATAAGCTACCTTGTTCTCTTAAATTGAGCCAGTCAGACTAATACGAACCTTCCCAATACCACAAGTAACAGCTCTAGCTTAGATACTTTGCTTTGATCCTGCTGGTGCTGTCTAGGGGTCTCTTGAGTAGAGTAGTCCTGAGGTTTGATTTTCTCTGCATTTGCTTCAGGGCAGTTTCACAGCTGATGCAGTGCAGTGCGTTTTTTTTTTTTTTTTTTTTTTTTTTTTTTTTAATGCATCAAAAGTGCATGAACAGTAGGTTATATGGGTTCCAATGGCCTACTTCACAGCAGTTCAGTGCATTCCAGTGCAGTCCAAAATTAAAAAACACACCGGAAAGCATTGAAAACACAAAGAATGCACATGCAGAAACACATATGGACTGCGTTTGTCGCACACTGCAAAACTGCTCTTTTGAGCTATCGGCATGCCCAAAAACAGGAAACCCGTGAGGCTTTTATCCGCCTTGCTAGCTCCATCTTTTGTAGAGAGAGACTAGGCTCACCAATGCTTATTTGTGATACATTTAGATTTATATGTTTTTTTTATTGTGTGCTAATTTTTAGAACCTAATGATACAGTATATGTATATATGGCTGCCATATATTTAACATGGACAGGTTCTACTTCCCAGTGCTACACAGTTGTGCCTATTGACTGTTTTTCCCAATGCAAGCCTATGAGTCAACCTACGCACTGTAAGCAGTATTCTCCCTGTGTGGGTGGTAACCTTATCTCAAGTAGTTAGTGATTGTAAAGTTTGACTTTTTTTTAATTAAGCTAGCAAACATGTTATTCTAAAGGCAGTCGAAGGTGGAACCATTTTCTTCCCTACAACCACGGGTTGCAGGAAAGAAAATTGCTCAGTTCCCTCATCAGCATAGTCAGTGCTGATGGGAGAATCCTTCTCAGGGAGCCATCCCTGCTGGGAAAACACAGTGATTACTGCTAGTGGCTATAATAGCTGCTAGCAATAATTGCATGCAAAATCCAACAGGCTGGATTTACCCAAGTTGATCGATCAACTTTGGTACATTCAGCCGGGCCCATACATGGTTCAAATCTCGGCTGGTCCCTACTGAACCAGCACAGATTCACACAATCTGGCTGGTTTTACCTGCTCTGTGCCGTGGTTTTGCACACAGCATCCCCAATCCTACTCGTGCATGCTCGCTCCCAAGCCTTGCTCTGTGTCCATGAGACACACAGAACGGGCCTTGGACCCCTTTTTTTAGTTACCGTAGTTTGTGGCCATTCCACAGGCATTCACAGTTTTAAAGTGTGACATGTTGGGCATCTGTTTACTCAATGTAACATCATATTTTATAATTTACCAAACAATTGTTATTGTTTCTGTGCACTAAAATTCATTAAAGTGTTTTTTTTTTTTTTTTTTTCCTGAAAATTTGCATTTGATAAACCACTGCACAAATATTGTGAAAATTGCAAAAACCACCATTTATGTTCCAGGGCCTCTGCTTAAAAAAAATATATACAATGTTTTGGGTGGGGTCGAAGGAATTTTTTTTTACATTTAAGTGGCAGAATTGGCTCGAACTGGAAGTGGTTTAAAGCGGTTTTAAACCCAAATCCAAGATATTATTTTGCAGCTTACTAACTTGTTGATCTGGCCAGTAACACACCACCTGTATCTGTGAGACCCATCTCTGGATGAATGAGCACTGAAGGCACAGCAGACTGAAGCAGTCTGGGGGGAGGGGGGAGTGTTAAATGTATTGGCAGATTTAAAACCCTAACTAATTGAAGCCAAACTCCAGCTCGCACTTCATCCCAAAAGGAGAAAAAGCTGCTGTAACTGATTGTAAAGGTTTTACATGAATGAATAAATATAAGCTGATCCTTTTAACCACCCCTGCCAGAGTTGAATTGTTTGTCTCATCCATATAAGCTGAGACATTCTCCTGGAGAGCTTGAGCTTTAGAAAGACTTACTGGCTGGATTACCAGATGAACATAGTCTAAAAAAGAAGAATGAATGCAGCCATCACATCCATGAATTGTTCAGCTGCAATATAATGCATGTTTTTTGGGTTTAACCACTTGAGCTCCAGAAGGCTTTACCCCATTCTTGACCAAGCCATTTTTTGCCGTTCGGCACTATGCTCTTTAACTGACAGTTGTGTGGTCCTGCAACACTGTACCCAAATTAAATTTGTATCTTTTTCTTTTCACACAAAAGAGCTTTCCTTTGGTGGTATTTGATCACCACTGGACTTTTTTTTATCTTATTCTAGACCGAAAATTTTGAGAACATTTTTTTACTTTTTGCTATGAAACCTATCCAATAAAAAAATCTAAATTCTTTATAAATTTAGACCAAAATGTATTCTGCTACTTTAACTTTGGTAAAAAAAAAGATCCCTATGAGTGTGTATTGGTTTGTGTGAAAGTTAAAGCATCTACAAACTATGGTATATATAGGAATTTTTAGCAATCTGATACGAACTGATGCTGGGTGGGAATTGACTAAATGACACTGACCTCACCAGTGACATGAATACATTGATCAGTACGAACTATACACTGTCACTTTGCTATAGTTGCTGAGAAGGGGATAACCTCTAGGGGAAATCAAAAGGTTAACTGTGTGCCTTACAATGTGTAATATGTGCTGCTTTTACTAAACGATGTGACTTTTTTTTTTTAGGGAGAAAAGGGCTCTCTGTACAGAGCCCTGTGGTGTTAGTAAACACACCTCTCTACTGTCATTTGGTAAGCCTATCAGCAGGTCCCAGCCATAAATCATTGGCTGGGACCTGCTTGACAGTCTTGTGCTGTAGCGAATGACAGCACAGATGTGGCAGCGGGTACGCACCTGTGCCCCTCCTACCCGGAAATGCCAGATCACGTACATGTTTGTGATCTGGCACAGATGAACCGCTGGCCCATAGTGAAGCTACATGGGCCAGTTGGCAATTGGATACTACTGCTTTAAAGTGGAACTATGACAAAATCAAAAAAATTACATAATGCAGTCAGCAATAGTACAGTGTCTCAGGTCTTCCTCCAAAAAGATAATTCTGTAAGAGGAATAGTTGCCTCTCCCGGCTTGCTGCGTGTCTCTTCCTTTCAAGCCTGCTGAGAAACACACTCCTGAAAGTGTTAATTTCTCCTGTATTCTCCGCTGTGCTTAGTGCTTCCTGTTGCTGACCTCCATGTCACTCCAGGACACAGTGCTATGCCCCGTACACACTATAAGAAAATCGTCCGAAACATTTTTGTACAAGGACTGATCGTCTGATAATCGAATCGTTGGTACACAGCTTTTGAGAACCGATCACGACAATTCGTACGACAATATTCGAAGGGACAAGCGCAAAAATGTTTCTTGAACGATACCAGATCGTACAATTTTCGTTTAATCAGTACGGTAGTCATCTGAAAATACAATCCAAATACAACGCAATACATGACATCACTTTCAAAATTCTTTTCTTTCATAGGAGAATTTTCGTATCTTTAGTAACCTTTTCACTTTTGATGTGAGACTAGCAGGTGAAAAGAAACAGCCGATCGTTCGTCCGATATTTTCATCGTGTGTACAGGGCATTAAGGATGAAGTCAGCAGAAGGAATCGCTGAGTACAGCTGGAGACTCAGACGTATCGGGCTTCATGCACACCAGCAGTTTAAGCTCCTAGAAGCCTAATCGTGTTATCCTACGTGTCCGTGCACACTATTTTAGGCTAGTAGTGTTTTTCAATCTTCTGCGTTTACGAGCAGGAAAAAAAAAATTTTGTAGTGTTTCCTTTTTTTTTTTTTTTTTTTTTTTTTTCTTTTTTGTTCCAAAATGTACTCTAAAAATGCTCCTAAACGCTAGTCTGCATGGAGTCTCAATATCTTTACAGATTTACAGGCAAGATATTTTTTCAATGACGTGGTTCAGTAGCTCGGGTTGCTGCAGAAGCATTTACCCTTTTTTTTACAGAATTGTCCTAAAGCGACGCCGTCTGGTAAATTAAAATTGCCCTTAAAGTTCCTATTATGTTGACATTAATGTGTACTACTAGGTTGTCTAGGTCATGTGCTTTAAATGTACCTATATTTCATTATGGTTTTTTGAATCTTTTGCTTAAATTAAAGTTAAATTTGTTTTGTTTTTTTGTTTTTGTTTTTTTTTTGTGTGTTTTTTTTGTTTTTCTATATTTAGATGATCAGTAGAATTGAATATGTACACACAAAGAATTTTATACACAGAGACATCAAACCAGACAACTTTCTAATGGGCATCGGACGTCACTGTAATAAGGTTAGTGTAATTTGTGAGCTCTGATTTTATTTTATATTTTTTTTTTCCCTTCTTGTACAAGTATAGTTCATTCTCTCCTTGCTTTTTTTCACTGTAGTGATGTATGGAATGTTTTATTGTCCTTGTATCTTTTAATTTTGGACCTGCCTTGTTAGGAAGCCTCCTGCAAGCCTTGGTACTTTGAAACGGTTTATGCTCACATGTTGGTGTCCTCAAGATTTTCCAACATAAGCTAAAATGACTATTTGTGAGGGTTTTTTTTTATAAGGAATTAACTGATGGTACACAGACACTACAGTTAAAGCCACACATATCACACATACTTTTCCTCCCTATTCTGGTATTTTTTGGTTCTGCACAGATTGATGCAACTTTTCAGAAGTCTCTGTACCTTGGGTTCTTCTGAACACTTTTTTTTTTTTTTTTATTCTGGACTTGTCCACCATTAAGGTATATTCTTTGGTGGTTGTGTCCACCTGTCTACATATTCCTTGGTTGTGTTAAAGTAACCCTCATGATTTAAAATAAATCAATCCTTATGGTTTCTAAGAGTTTGCTAGTTCCCTGGCTTTCATTTTTACCCCATGGCTTTTTTTTTTACTTGGTAAAGCATTGGCATGGAACAGGCAAGTAGCCAATTAATTCAAAAGTCTGGGCATGAATTACTTTCCAAACCATAGGATGTTTGACTGTCTAGGAGCTTGCAACTTTTGAAATAAAGGTGGTTCCAGCCCCTTCTTTTACACATTTGCTTTATGCTCAGCTAAGTGTGCATGACAGGTGTCCACCATAGAGAAAATGTGACTGATTATATAGTGAGCATTAAACATGGGTACTCACATTGCAATCAGTACTATTCCATGCCAACACATTAGCATCTGTTCAGTTTTTTACTTTACCAAACTGGCCTGAGATTAAGGTTTGCACAGAGAAGTGGTCTTTTTACGTTAATGTATTAGTGCTTGGGGAAAAACAAAAGGCCCTCATTCACAAAAGAATTTTGTCTTTCATTCACCTGTAGGACAGCCACATATACTTTGGTAGAAATATTTTGGATATAATGTTTTGCTGTCCGAATAGAGATTTGTTATGATATCTTTCACTGCTACACTGTATACTTGTTTTAAATGGAACTTTTCTAAACTTGTACTGCTGCTTTAGTTAATAGGAGATTGTTAGCTTTGCATGGTCTTTACATTTTCTTTATCTCCAGCGTTACATTTACTGAGCTAACATAAAGTGCTTCCTTGACAGTGTCATATGTATTAAGCGGGCAGACAGGCAGCAATTGGCAAATCAATAAGCATGCCGTGCATATATAGATTTTAAACTGGGGATTATTATAATGAACAATTGTATACATTACCTTTTTATGGAAGCAAGATTGCCAATTGTGATTTTTTTTTTTTTTTTAATTTTATTTTTGTAGCCAATGTTTACCTTTGTTTGCCTGTATGAATGCCAACTTGAGGCCAGACATGAACTGGGTTCCAACAGAGGTGCTTCAGCCACCCTTAACATACCCCAATATTTTCTTGGCTTTTCTTTTTATTTCGTGTGTTAAATATACCCTAAATGACAACTATATTGAAAAATACACATTTCCATTAGACAATATTGTTTTATGCATTTAAAATTTACTAAAAGTTAGATTAGTATGAAGCTGCACTTATTTTCTGTAGGAACAGTCCAGGTGGCTGAATTCCATTCTCACCTGCTATTTTCATCCACTGTTCAGTTTATGGCATGTGAGTTTACAATAATTATTTAGGCTTCAAGGTAAAGTGGACCGAGAAAACAGAAAAGTGTGTATCTGGCCCAAATGTTTACACCTATCAAATCATGCGTGTATAGTTCTGATCAGTAAGACCCCTTTTCACACGGGCGGGCTCTGCCAGCTGAGCGGGGGATTAGTCCTCTGATCCCTGCTGAGCAGGTGAGAACAGGTCTGTTTTGTCCACTCCACTTATGCAGGGCAGACACGGACACAGCCCGCTTTCCTCCTATGGGTGGTTGGATGTAAACGGACTGCCTGTCCGTTTACATCTGACTGTTTTCTGATCCAATAGACAGATGGGGAACAGATCCTCCATCCATCTGCAGGCTGGTGTAAACGGACACATGTCTGTTTACTTCCACAGTTCCATAGAGGATAATGGATGGTCCAATCAGGTCCACCTGAAAACGGACAGGCAGACCCGATTGGTCTGTACATGTGAAAGGGGCTTAAGGGTGTTTTTGTGCAGTTGATGGATTAAAGTCAGTTGCTATGTAGAGCTTTCAAGTGGACTGTGATTTTAGCTTTTTACAGAAAGTCCATATATTAACATTTTAGAAGATCCAGAAGGTCAAAAGTGCACTTGGCCCTTTCACATTTCTGTTCATGCACTAATGGATAGATATAGCATACGATATTGTATGCAGTTTCACATGCTTGCATTCTGTGTGCTTTTAAAGTACAGCAGGAACTTTGAGGACTGAGTTTTCATGGTGTGGATGCATGAACAATGCACCACTATATGGGTTTGATAAATTTGATGAGAAGATTACGTTCACAATTGAATGGGTTCTTTAGAGGATAACTGTACCTTTTGGTACAATTGTTTAATCATTTACCCCCTTATCTCTGATTTCTGCCCACATGGACAAATACCTACCTTTCTCCATGTTCCAACAAGCTTTGCTGTGTGGCCCTGCATGGTACCACACAGTCTTTCCGGTGAAAACATCCTCTTGGTGTGCATGCAGACCGCCGCCCCATTACTTCCTAGGAGTAAGCTGTACTCTGCTGGACCCCTGCAGGTCATAATGAATAAAGCTTTCCCATAGAAATTGATGGGCCTGCGGCGTGCACACACACTGAGATCCACTGGGGGAACTTTCTCTGGAAAGGCTTGTGGTGCAGTGAAGGACAACACAGCAAAAATCACTGGAATGAAGGGGATGGTAAGTATTTGTTCAGGTAGGTAGCATTCAAGGCTATGGGGGAATTAAAAAGGTATAGTTTTTTTAAAAAATGCACATGCAGTATCCTCAGATCAGCAGATCTGTTCTATTAGGCATTTTGGAGAGTCTTCGCCCATGTTCACTCTGGTGTTACTACATAGGAAATTAAAAACTATCCATCATTCCAATTTTCAAACCCAAGCAATTTTTAAGGCAACATATATCACTTTTACCTAGACAGTGTAGTTGTAACAGCTATATATGAAAAGCTTGATAGGCTGGATTTGTTTAATGTTAAAGTTTTTGTCTAATGGTGGTGGTTATTTTTATAATGGTTGTCTCTTAATAATTCTGGTACAATAGGTGAAAATGGTTACCTTTTTTCCTTTCCATTTTGACTATTCTCAATCAAATGGTGTCCTATGTAATTTTTAAAATCCTGTGCACACCTCTAATAGAACCATCTAACCGCTGACCGCACAGGTTGTCTGCAGTTACTTTGATCCTGCTTGTGCTTCCCAGTACTTACATTTCTTCACTTCTGAGTTGTGAAGATTAAGTCTTCGTCCAGTCCAGAGTTTAATACCTGGGGGTTTATCAATCTATCACCAGGATAGATTGTGTCCTTAGATGGTGTGTGTGTATGTGTGTGTATATATATATATATATATATATATATATATATATATATATATATATATATATATATACACACACCAACTCCTGAAATTGCTGTTTTTACATAATGGAAGAGCAGAAGGCTGATTGAAAGGTACCTGCTGACAGCTTTTGTGGTCTGCAATTAGATTGTAAAGTTAAATCTGAACTCTGGGAATAAAAGGAGTGAGGGGAACTTAATATATTTGCAATGAGGGATAACTGCTGGTTTTGTCTAAGGGATGAAGAATAAGGTTATATATTTGCCTTCGTTCTTACTTCCTCTGTGTGGCCCGTCTTCTGAAAGCCTCTTCCTTTTGCTGCTCAACTGATTGCAGCTCTCGACATCTTGTCCAATGTATTCAAACTCCTAGGGCCCACTCACAACCTAATATTGTCAGACATTGGAGGGGAGTGTTGGATGCAGGCCGAGTGAGGAATAAGATACGTTTTTATTGCCTTATTCATCACTCACTAGCCAAAAGGAGTAGTTAACCCTCACTGCGAAGAAGGTAATAATTTTTCTTGCTTAGAGTTCAGTTTTAACTTATGTTGGAGGGGCACTCATATACTTTTAATAAGTTGCACACTTTCTAATTTTTTGTAAACCTCTTAGCTGTGTACTTATTCATGGAACATGGAAAACACTTTTTTTTTTAAAACATTCAATTAACTTGTGAAGTAATGTTTTGGCCCAACTTTCAAGCGACACATTTCTTCTATATACATGTTCTAAATGTTGCCTATGTTATGAGAATACTAAAAAAGGTAAAGCATTTTGAATGCACAGACATATTTAGTATTGCTCTTGGTCTTTGCAATCTAATATGACATTACTGCTATAACCTCAAGGTGGATTTCTTTAAATCTAGTAGAGGTGATATACAAAGAAACTGTATACCCTATAACCCCATCCATCTTTTATTTTGTTTTAGTAGAGTAGTGAATGTTTTGGTGGGTTTTTTTTTGTTTTTTTTTTGGGGGGGGGGGTGTTCTGTTGTGAGTCTCATTGGGGGGGGGGGGGGGGGGATATCCACGCTTTGAGACCGCCAACTTCCCAGCTCTTTCAAAAACATAATGTCTGGCATGTTAGTTAAACTAGAAGACTGGTTGTTTAACATGGTTCCAAATAGCTACCTGCAAATTGTGAAATTAGCAGTGTTTTTCTGGGGTGGCTTTTTTTTTTGTTCAGTCAAAGAAGTGAATATTTAGTCATTATGACTGTGCTGGCTTACTTAAAAGATTTAGACTGTTTATATGAAAAAAAAAAAAGTCTGATTACAGCCTTGTCAATGAGCTAATTTCTGTCACCATGCAAAACTGGGAGACATTGAAATTTGTTTGCTAAAGGAAATGAGAACTTCTAATTTGCTTATCCGTTCATTTCTACTTTGTTAAAGGAGAAGTGTAGGAATCAAAGCACATAAACATTCATACTCTCCTCTATGGCTGCAGCATCGTTGTGATGCTGCAGCTGTCCCCCATCAGGTCTAAGCCTGAGAACTGAACAATCACTTGATCGCTGATCACTCATTTCTCGGTCCACTCTGAGCAGAGAGGTGACTGTCTGTCACCGCTCTCTGCTCTGCCTCTACCGCACTCACTGGAGAACTGGGTGCAAGTGGCTGGCTCAGGCTCTCAGTGGCGCACTGATGTTGAGCCATCTGCTGGTCAGGCATCTGTATGGATCCCAACGTTGTCAGGACTCTCCCAGAGTCTGGAGCAACTCTGATGTTAGTCAACTGCAGGCTTTAGCTGTCTGATTCTGGGTCACAAAGTGACAAAAGTGAAGCTTTGGCCATACTTCTTTTAAAAGCTAATTCATGTTTGTTTTATCTGTACAGATTGAGTATACAAACAGAAATTTGGTATTCAAATGATTTGGTAATTGAAGTGAATTTTTACACAATTTGTTTATTTTGTGAAGATTCTTGACTGAATTGGCCTCAGTGTGTGAATTCAAGCTGATTGTCAGACTTTAGCTTAAGTTAGGAGATGAAAGGTCCCAAACTACACAATGCAATATAAGCCTGCACAGTTATAATTTGATAGACTAGTCAGATTAAAAAAAAATGTATGTAGTATTGCAACCGTGCAGTACTCTTAGCCATTTCGACCTGGGCTGTCCCAAAACCTGGCATTTTTAAACTTCTCAGCCAGTGAAAGATATAACTGAACTCTGTTCCTTGCTTGAATGTAAAATAACCAATAAAATCATTTTTGAGATTCCATTCCAAAAAATTCAAGTGTTTAGAAAATTGGAAGTGTGCAACAGCAGCATTGTAGTGCTGGATTTGTCTTCATGGGACAACCATACACTAGTAAATGGACACACGCTGGTCACTTTGGCACTAAGCTTAAAGAAAGCCTGTAGTGCCAGAATATGGAGGTTTTCATTTATAACCAACCCCTGTTACTTCCTAGTTAACTTGCTAAAATTTAGGCTAACAGCTGGAATACTTTGTAAGTTACTGAGCAGGAATACGTATACAAATCTGTTCTGATTTCACTCCTAGCTTTGTGATTTGCTTGTCCATTCCAGATTAATGGCTTGAAGCAAAGTAAACCCACCAATTTAACGGTTTTCCAAAAGAAAGCTTAATAATATGCAATAACGGTCATTAAAACCCTATTTAAGCAAATATACCAAAATATTTTCATTTGCATTCTACATACTAGGGCATAAGCAGTTTATGCTACATTCAAGGCATGTCTCTGGTGATAACTGTCATAGTACCCAGCATGCTTATGTCAGCTTACAACTGAACTTTCAAGTCCTTAAATGGCTGTTGCCCTAGCTGGTCAGGTGCCACTTTAAAGAATCCAGTGACAGCTAGGAAACTAGCATTAGAAATCTGCAATTGCAACCTCCATATTTTGACAACTCTGGTTTCCTTTTGAGTACCTTCAGTGTTGAGTCTTTTATATTTTTTATATATATTTTATAATTTAATATTACCCGGTGTTTGTATTTACCCCATCTTTCCTTGACATTTTCTCCCTACTCCTTACTTCATTTAGCCCTAAGTATTGCAATTTTTATGTTTTTCTGTTAGGAAGACCAATACACCAGATTGTTGTATTTTTCTTGAAAATTTTTAATCTTGACCAAAATGTTGATCCAAATTTTTTTTTCTTCTCATTTTTATGTATATATTTTGTGCAATAAAATTGGATTATAGGACAAGTTACATTCCCACTGAACAACCTTTTAATATTACTATTTTAGGGAATGTAATTGCAGGACTTCTGGTAATCTTGTTCCAGTTCTCAGACTTTTTTCTTTATATTGGTCAGAATTTCTGTTCCTATAGCAACAAAGCCCCGCATGCTTACTGTACTCTTTCAGGTGACAAAATGCCTTACACCTCTTCCTTACTGAAGATTTTTTTGCTAAATCATTTGGATGGATGATTGAGGAAGGGCATTTTGGGATATGAAGAAATCTCCACCTGCTTGACTTCCATGATGGATGAACCATTTGTTCATTTGCTATGGAAGAATTAGGTGTGTTCCAGCCCTGATTGCCAGTTGGGTATTGCCATTTGGTAACCAGCAAGTGGACAGTGTCATGACCTTTAATGGCCTCTTCTTAAATCTAACATTTACTCTAAATCAACTTGAATTTGGAAATCGGCTTGAATTTGGAACTCAAATTTAGTGACCCTTAGTTGCCAAGTGGAAAGAGGATGGCATTTGACTCCCCTGTTTTTTTTTTTTTTTTTTTTTTCTTCTTCTTTTTTTTTTTTTTTACCGCCTCGGTGTTGCCTGTCTGCGCCGGCCATTGTTGCATTGTAAGCAATACTGTTTGATGCACTGCCACCCTCTATTGTCTGTTCAGTGTTTCGAATCTCCAGTGGGGAAGAGGAAAAGAAGCATGACTGTTAGTACTTCTCAGGACCCATCTTTCTCAGGATTAAACCAGGTCTGAAACTGTCTCCTATTCCAACTTCCACCCCAAATTCATGTGCTTTTCTTATCCTTGGTTTTTCCCTTATCCTTATTTTAACCAAACAATCTAGGCCTTGCACAAGCACCTCTTATGTTGGCATTATTCAGACATACTTGGCAAACATGTAACATTACTAAGAAATTTTCTTGGCCTTTTCTTTACTCAGTGCTGAATGTTTGTGTGCCTTTTTGATTTCCATTGGTTTCGCTTTTTTTGTGCAACTAGCATAAGAGCATGCTTCTGAGATGAGGAAACTGTAAACCATTTTACATCCCTATTAGGCCTCTGTCCACCATGTGCTTTGGATTCTTGTGCCAGTATCTTAGCTTCTCTGGCACAGTTGCATATGTTGTAATGTGTGATCCTGTTGAATGTATTTGTGTTATTTCAGAACTAATTTTATGAATTGGTTTTAGCTGCATCTCTCCGCAGAACTTTTACCATGCATATATAAAATACACTTGTCAGTAGTGTTTGTTCATGTGCCCATCATTTAGGTAGTTTGTATAATAGCTTGGACTATGTGAGCATTCCTTGAACAGCAATATTGAACCCAACAATACTGTGAAGTATTGTAATGTGTACTTGTTTGATTTCAAGCCTGAAAGTTGGTATGCTATTTAGTTAATACAGTGGCTACATTTAGTACTTAACCCAGTTAGAATGTTATGTCATGAAAATAACAACATGAATTGATAGGGGGGAGGGGGAAAGGACCTTCATTGTTTCTGGCAGTTGATCTGTGGTCTGTTTTTTTATGCTGTTTGGCTTTTGTATATATTGGCAAAATGTTGTAAATTCAGTTTAGTATTATACTTTTTGAACCCGTGTGGATGCGTTGTTGACCGTTAGCTTTTTATATCCCACCAATGCAGAAGTCCTATACAGAGCAAAGATTTTAGGCTATAGAGTGTTTTTTCAAACGGTTGTCCTATTGCCATGGTGCTGTATGTGTTATGGTTGTACTGTTTGTAGTTTAAGACCAGAGTCAGCATTTGGTAATCTCACACTTAAACCTTGGATGGAAAAAGGCCAAGCTGCATGACTGTATGGTTTTATACTTTGTCAGTTCATGTCCTTGGCAGCTTGTAGAAAATGTCTTTAGTCGGACACTGTTTACGGTCAGAAAATTGTTTTTTTTTTGTTTTTTTTTTTTATTTCATGTTGCTGTAGTGAGAATGCAGTATAAGCTCAGTCATTGCATGTCTGTGCATGTTCTTGTTAAGTTGGCACAAACCTAGTGTTTAAAAACTTGAGGCATAGAACATTGTGAGGGGAGTTTAGTTTGTCTAGCTGAAGAACTTTTTACCATTTATTTAATTTGCATGCGTAAGTGAGCTTTCTTGACTAGTCTTTTGTAGTTGAGTAGGTCGCATGGTTAAAAACACTCATTGCAATTTTATTAAGAAAATGGATGTTGGTCCCCACTGTCTTAGCTGATCGAAGACAGAGTTTTAGTGAAAACTGTATTTGTAAATGATTGGCAATTTCTAAATTTGAACACTTAAAATGTGCCATGCATGGACATATTGGACATTTCAGTGATGCCTACATGTCTCCATGCCTGACCATTCATTTTGGTGAAAGTGTTTCCTACATAAGCCAAGTGTTTGTTTACTGTAGCTTTCATTAAATTATTACTGCCCTTTTCAATTTGGTGAAATAATTTAATGTATATATTAGTCACTAACCAGTTGAATGTAAAGCATTTAAATCTCGCCTTCCAATGACTTTGAAAAATCAGATGGCAATATATGTATATAATTTTTTTGGGCGGTTGTTGTGCTGTGATTAGAGCATGTTCAGATTCTCATTGATTTTCATTTGTACCAGTGATCCGTACTCTAACATTTTTTATTTTTTTTTTTTTTTATATTTTTCTTCACAAGTTATTCCTTATAGACTTTGGTTTGGCCAAAAAGTACAGAGACAACAGAACAAGGCAACACATACCATACAGAGAAGACAAAAACTTGACTGGCACAGCCCGCTACGCTAGTATCAATGCCCACTTAGGAATTGAGCAGAGGTAATGACATCTCAATTGAGTAGTCAGAATTTGTGTTTCAAGAGTTTGATAGAAAATCACACATTTACAGTGACTTAGTGGCTACCATGATTGTTTTGTGGCACTGGTGTACTAGGTTCCCCAGTAAATTGTGAGCCCCTTTTATACAGTACAATATTTTTTTCCTGTTTACTCTGTACAGTGCTACATAGGCATGGGGAAAATAACCTGTTTTAAGCAGAACTTCAGATTTTTTTTTTTTTTTTTTTTTAACTTAAAATGAAAATGTTCAGTGCTAGAGGAGGTGTAAGTGGTTTAAGTCCCTTTTTAGGTGTGATTGCAATTACTGTAAATTACACTGTCTTTTATGCCAGGAAGTAAAGCTGCGTACTGGATTTTTAATAGCCGAAAGTCCCATGGAGGAGGCTTATCAGAAAGTAGAGGTTTTCATGCTTTCCCAATATCCTATTGATGTGTGGTGGTTTTGGGATGTTCTGATTACCTGAAGTCTAATGTGAATCTAATTGGACTACTGATGTTTGACTTCAGTTGTGTATCTGAGCAGCCAGCTTGACTCATTGGTAACGTTAACCTTATTGCAGCAGATGATTAATGGCATTCGGTACAGTTTACAATTTAGTAGGCTGGCAGCTCTGTACCAAATGTAATGTGTTTACCTAAAGTGGTTCTAAAGGCAGAACGTTTACTACCTTAATGCATTCATGCGTAAAGGTAAAAAAACCTTCTGGATGCAGCTTCCCCCACTAATACTTGCCTGAACTCAATCCCCATTGGTTCCCGCTCCTGTCAGTTACAGCAAGTGAGAGGGGCACGTCCGAGCCCCATTCTGTGGGTCTTTTGTACACACACACACAGCCTGCTTGGGAATGAGCCTGCACATGTGCCCCATAGCAAGCGACTTGCTATGGTGGGCACTTGGAAGGGGGAGGGCTTTGAGCGCTGGCAGGGTACCCCAGAAGAAGAGGAGGGTCAGGGCTGCTCCGCAAAACTATTGCGTATAGTAGGTAAGTATAATATGTAGGTTATTTTTCAAAAATAAAATTTGAACCTTTTACAATCACTTTAGGAAAAGTCCTCTTATTGTGTGTTTCCTTTTCACAGTCGTCGTGATGATATGGAGTCTCTAGGATATGTACTAATGTATTTCAACAGAACTAGCCTTCCTTGGCAAGGGCTGAAGGTAGGTTATGTCTTAGTCTGCTGGTAACCTCACTAGTACATGAAGCAATGCCTTCAGCTAATTCATTTAACTCTATATGGTTATCCCTACATTATACGTACAGGTCAAAAGGAGGTAAGGACCGGATTAAGAATGGTGTGGTAGAGCCAGACTTAGAACATAGTGTAAAATTGTTGCTTTCTTTCTGTTAAGAAGAAGGAAAAAAGAAAAGAAAACTTGGCCAGAAAACAATGGTGTTAGTATCAGGTAGACGTGATAGTGACCACAGGCATAGCCAATTTAGGAAAAACTGACTTCCCCTTTCCTTAGAATTTTTAAAAGCCCTGTTGTGTAAGGTTGGCAAGTACTCACAAGAGGCTAAATCATAAAATATAAAAGCCAAAGCAGTGTCCAAATGCTGCTGCAGAAGTAACTGTAAGGAACACATTTTATGTCTATACTTTGGTCAACAAATGATTCATATTATCTACTGAATATGGTACAGCTTTCATTGGGAGTTAAACTCCCATTTAGGAATATAGTTAGGCTTTACTAAATTGAAAGTAAAGCCTAACTATATTCCTAAATGTTCCCTCCCCCTCCTCTACCTATTATATCTAACCTGTATAAAATACATAGGCTTTTGAATGTTAACGTTTTAGTAAGCAGTAGTGCTAGGGCTGTTCTTTTCATGCATTAATTTCTTAGAAAAGCAATGCTGCAACCTTAACCTCTACTGTGTGGGCAGGCTCTTGGGAGTCAGCAAATATTGGCATCAGTGTTTAAATTTGGAGCATATAGGACTAATTATGTTTGGATTTAAAGTGGTTGCAAACTCTTACATATACCCACTGAAGTGAATGTGCCCTCAGGTGATGCATAGAGATGAAACAAATCCTACATAAGTTGTACCTGTTTAACTACAGCCATTTCCACTGTAGAACCTTTTTAAAACACATAGATGAAAGGATTATTCTCAGCAGTAGAAAGCAGGGGGTGGGAATCTGACCTCTCACACTGCAGAGCTAGAGCATAAAGCTGTAGTGTAATCTGATAGCTGAGTGGAGGGAAGGAACACACCCTGTACACAGGCTCATAGCGAAAACATACAGAGCAGAGGCCAGAAGTCGCTTGCTGTGTGCTGGAGGGGGCGAGCTTCAGGCCATTGTCAGCTTAGAGTTCCAAGACAAACCAGACTGTTTTGATTCAGGCTAGTACACACTATAATGGGATGGGCTTTGTTAATTTTTTGTGTCTAAGGTTTGCAACCAGTTTCTTGTGTCAGAGTAAATGGAATTTAAGTTAAATGAGGCAACAGAGTGTTGGGGCAACAGTTGTAAGAGACACCAGGCAGCTAAGTGCAAATCAGTTAAGTGGAGAAAGTGGATTTTGCAGTTACGCTTATTCAGTACACAGTCTATTACTGCACTGAGTTTAACTAAATGACGTAGCTGCTGTCACCTTGCCCACTGCAGTCCTAATGCAAGGACAGGCATTTGTCTGGTTTGCTAGTGTATTTTTCACTGCATGGAGTGCTTTTTTTTTTTTTTGGGCGCTGCAGGTTTTGATGCAAACTAACGCATCGTGCTGTCGCTATATAAATAGAACTTAAAGCAGAACTAAATCCTCCTAACCTTTGCAGACCCTGAAGCTGCCATCTTAGCCTCTGTTTGATCTGCACCACTTGCAGCTGCATGTGTGATTTTTAATTTTGACACCAGCCATTTGATAGCTGGACAGTTCAGTTGAGAGTTTAACATAAGCACACTGACCACACTAACCGTTATCATTCAAGACTGTTAAATTGATGGGTTTAGTTCTGCTTTAAAGTCATTTGTGACTTTTCAAAAAAGTTCTAACTGAGAAAAAAAGTTAAACATTGTGATTTGCCAGAATGGGCATGGTTTCCACCTGCTCTAAGTCCATGGTTGTGCAGTCAGCAGGGGTAGGGGGCTTTGTGGCTGTGAACTGAGGTAGGGGCAGCCATGCTGATTCTTCTCCAGGGAAGCTGCCCTTGCAAGATTTTTACAAGTCTACTGATGAGATTAAAAGACAAGAAAATTAGGAAAGAAAATTCAGCAAGGACATTCTCTAGAGTGAGAGCTATGTAGGTAATTTGGGTCATTCGTAGAACTCAATTTTCAACATCACATTGGCTGTAGAAAGCAGTCATATTCATAGAGGGACATTTGTCAAGATGGTAGCTGACAGAATCTGGAGCAGCATTTCATGGTAACCAATCTGCTTCGATCTTCAGCCTGTTCAGTTGAGAATTGAAAGGAAATTTGAGAGCTGTTTGGTTGCCATACTCCGCTCCTCCAGATTCTGTCAGCTCAAGTTTTAATAAATTCACCTCTTTTCTGGACTTGTTAAAGTGGTGTTCTGGCCCCCGCCACCTCCCCCCCCCCCAAAATAAAATAAAAGCAGCCACAAATTCTGTGGTTGCTGACGTTTAATAGTACAGCACTTAACCCGTCTATGCATCCTGCGGTGTCCTAACCCCAAGCTGATTCTCCAGTCGGCTGCGGGGTGCTGGTGTCATCTTAACTAAGCGAAATCGGCAGTGAAGCCTTCCGGCTTCACCACCAGTTTCCTACTATGTTTTATGAATGGACTACGGTACTCTCGAACCTTGGAAGTGTCCAGTGGGCTTGGGTGGGGGAGAGGTGTCGAGCTTAGAAGTAAGAGCAGCTACCTGAAACCCCCCCCACCAAAAGGTGCCAAATGTGGCAGCTGAGGGGGGGGGAGGAGGCAGAAAAGCGGATCTTCCACTTTTGGGTGGAACTCCGCTTTAAATAGGCTGTTAAACATTTTTCCTGCTGGCATGTTTTTTTTTTTCCTTGCGCAAATGTATAAAATTACCTGTTCCACAGGCAGCAACCAAGAAACAGAAGTATGAAAAAATCAGCGAAAAGAAGATGTCCACTCCTGTTGAAGTTTTGTGCAAGGTAAACATACAGCCTGTTTAAAGTATGATTATTGTAACGTGGCTGACTGCATTCAATATATGCCACTTTAAAAATGTACCCATGCCATTTTAGCATGGCAATTGGTTTACATGTCACAAATATTTTACATGCGCTGAATGTAATTGCCTTACTTTTGGTTTGACAGTGGAGATCTCTAATGGTCACACTGCATGTTGTTTGACAGCCTTTCTCCATTTTTACGCAGGGATTTCCTGCAGAGTTTGCCATGTATCTCAATTACTGTCGTGGATTGCGCTTTGAGGAGGCACCAGATTATATGTATCTGAGGCAGCTCTTCCGAATTCTGTTCAGGTTAGTGTTTTTATTTTAAAATCTAGCCGTTGATGGAAATATATATTTGTGGCAAATTGTTGATAAAAACTAATAGCAACTAATAAGACATCTAGTATAATTATCTACAGTGTCCCAGATAAATTGTCCATGCGTTATACAGGGCTACCTGGTAAACTGTTTTATGATTGTCCTCTTTATGCTTGACAGCTGGATGATGATCTACTAGAGACTGAAAGGGCATGCACTTGGTTTATTTTACACAGTGTTTGTAAATGCAGTAGAGATGGTTAAGACTTTAGGTATTTACCAGGCATAGATTTATTATACACCCATTCCCCTCTCCAACTTCAAAAGTACTGGACTGATTCCACATTGTGTTTTTGCTCTCTTTCAGAACTTTGAACCATCAGTACGACTACACATTTGACTGGACAATGCTCAAGCAGAAGGCAGCTCAGCAAGCAGCCTCCTCCAGTGGGCAGGGCCAGCAAGCCCAAACCCCCACAGGCAAGCAAACTGACAAATCCAAGAGTAACATGAAAGGTTAGTAGCCAAGAGCCAAGAGACGTTTCAGGGAAAACAGTAAATTATTAGGAAAAACAAGAGACAATTGAAATATTCATAACTGATAGTGTTAGATCGAGGAGGTGTTATGATACCAATTTGGCTTATTAATGCAAAAAAAAAAAAAAGAAAAGAGAAAAAAAATTTAAAAAGAAAAAAAAAAGACGTCCTTGGAAAATTTGACTACTAACTTTAAATTCAGATTTCCTTATTTGTGTATCAATTTATTTATGGCAATCTCTCATCTTTTGGGATTTTGGGTCATCTTAACTGCACCTCTTTCATACGTTATCTCCCTTTTCCAATTGTGGGAACCAGTCTCTGGTGGTGTGAATGTGAAGGCTTCTTAGTTCACATTCCTGGACCTAACACTTAAAGGATTGCTGGGAGTTCAAACTTCCCTCTTGCTATAAGCTCTGCAGCTACCTTCCCAAACCTTAGTCCTTTTGATGCAAAAAGGATTTGTTGCCTAGTTCAAGTCCCTTTTGGCATCGTATTGGTAAGGAAATGGTGATGGTCTTTAATACAAAAATCACAGGAAAATTGTGACAGCCTTTTTAAGCGCTCATATTATGTACCATTTTAATTATCAAAGGTTGATGCAAGCAAAACATTGAAACAGCTTGAAGGAGCCTGTCAGGAAGAATATTGGGAGATTTCAAAGCTGATTTTTTTTTTTTTTTTTGGTCATTTTGAAGGTTCAAGTCGCCTTTCTTGGTCACTGACCTGTGGGGACATCTTGTAATGTGCGCAGGCTTGGCCGATGACTATGACTAATAGTGTGAAAAGGATAGATTAAAAGTCCCAGCATATTCTTCATCAAATACAAGTCAATGTTTTTGATAGCTTTGATCTTGACAGGATCTCATGAACAAGCAGACATGGACTAATTGTTATGTGGAGCTCCTGACCTGGCGGAGGAGCCTAAGCTGCCAAAACTTCTGTGTTCTTTTTCACATTTTTCATTTATTGAACACCTCTACTCCAAGGCCTATTAGGCTCTTGATTAATGTGATTAAAAAGCATCAAAGAAGTGTGATGGCTTTTTTTAAAGGGTAAAATTACTTATTCATTCTCCCAGTTTTGGCACCCTTTGATTAATATATGTATGTACGCATAGTCTGTCACAGTTTTCCAGATTTCCAAATTGGTGGCTTTATTTTCCTTTTTGGCCAGTAATTGGCTTCATAAAAAAGATGTTGCTACTGAAACCTCCCAATTCCAAAAATGTTGGGACACTATGTACAATCTACATAAAACAGAATTTAGTGATTTGCAAAGCTCATAAATCCATTTTTTATTCACGGTAGAAAATAGAAAAAAACAAATCTGTAAACTGAGAACATGTAGCATTATGAGAACAAAGTAAGGTAATTTTGAAATTGATGGCAGCAACAGTTCTCTAAACGCTGGCAAACAAAAAGTTGACAAAGTAAGCAGTGCTAACAAGGAAGAGCTGGAACGAAATTTTGCAACTAATTAGGTTAACCTCTTGGCATTGGCAGTATGCAAATATGCGGCCTCTTGACAGGTGTGACTTGACTGAGAGAGGCCACATAGTTGTGTACCAGGTGTGAACAAATGTGTGAAGAGCACAGTTACTGACACCTATTGGAAAGCTTCCCAATCATGTGACCACTGTGACAGCCAATCACGGTTGTCACATGATCAAATGCCCCCACCTCCATGCATCACAAATCCCTTAATGGGCCAGGAGGTGTGGCGCCAAGGGTTTGTCAACATGCCAGTAACCTGATTGGGTATAAGAAGGGCAACTTGGAGAGTCAGTTTCTCAGAATTAAGGTGGGCAGTGGTTCACCAGTCTGTAAAAAGCTCCCTCTAAAAATTATCAAACCATTTTAGAAAAATGTTCATCAATATAAAATTACAAAGATTAAATATATTTCCAAGATATCAAAAGATTATGATCTAGAGCAGGGGTGGGCAAACTTTTTGACTTGAGGGCCGCAATGGGGTTCATATATTGGACCCGGGGGCCGGACCAAGAGTAGATGAATGATGTGTATGTGTCATCCATAGTAAGTATAGTAATATTCCCCCATAGTAAGCATAGTAATTCATCCCCATATAGTAATTCATCCCCCATATAGTAATTCATCCCCCCTATAGTAAGCCCCCCCTGTGTCAATTCACTTACCTTTGCTCCGCGCGTTCCTCTCGCCGTGTTCCCGCGCTGTTCCGGTCTTCAGGGCGGACTGTGAGAGGAGCCTAGCTCCCCTCACGTTCGTCACGCTGCCCCGCCTACACACATCCTGACAGCCTCACATCACGCTCCGCGGGTCGGATTAAAAGGTCCACGAGCCGTAGTTTCCCCATTGCTGATCTAGAGGAATCTCTGCGCAAAAAAAACAAGGCAAAACGCATTATTGGATGCCCCTGATCTTTTGACCCTCAGGCAGCACTGCATTAAAAGCAGGTATGATTCTGTGGTGGACATCGCTGCATGGGCTCAGGAATACAAAAAATTGCTCTGAGAACACAGTTCCCCGTGCCATCCAAAAATCCAAGTTAAAGCTCGATCATGCAAGGAAAGCATATCTGAACATGATCCAAAATGCTGCTGTCTTCTCAAAGCTCATTTAAAATGGTCTGTTGCAAAATGTAAAACTATTGTGTGGTCAAGCAAATCGAAATTTGACATTCTTTTCGTTAACCATGTGCACCACGAATGGCACAACATTCCTCTTCCAAAACTCTAGCAATTTGTCGCCTGTTCCCAGACGTTTTAGAGTGTTAAAAGAAGAGGGGATGCTTTGTGGTATGGCCCTGTCCAAACCTTTTTGGAATTGGGGTTGTACTTTGCCAGCTTTTTGTTGCCCTATCCCAACTTTTTTCAGACTTGTTGCTACCATCCTTTTCAAAATTCTTTTTTTTTTTTTTTTTTTTTTTTCCTAATGGTACATGTTCTCACTTTAATCATTTAATGTTTTTTATTGTGACTAAAATATGGGTTTGAGATTTGTAAATAATTGCATTTTCATTTTATGTAGATAGCATCTCAGCTTTTTTTGGAATTGGGGATGTATGTATTTCCTGAGCAAGACCAAGATATGCACTTCATATTTTGTACATGTTCCTCAGAATTGTATTGCTTAATTCAAGGCCATGAATGATTATGAGTTTGGACAACTTTATTAAACATGTTGCTGTTCACAGGTCTGCAGCACTGCTGGCGAACTTCAGTGAAGCTATCCGCACACAGGGAGGATGTGGAAATCTGGCCAGGGCTGGGATTTATGCAGGATGGGGCAACAGGATTCACTACGGCAACTCTAAATGGGCCTGGGCGCATAGAATTATTCTGCAACTAGCCAAACTCTTAAAGGGGCAGTAAGCCTGTTTATGTAGACAGATGTGCTTCATATTTATTAGAAAATTGCTAAGAAACTGCCCAATTCTTAAATTTTTTTTTTCCCTTTTTAAAAGACCATTTTGCTTGTTTTGTGAACTGGGTCCCAATGCCAGGAGTGCTTTCAAAATGCATATTGCAAATGTTTTACTAGGGCATGTAGTGCTTCTTGCAGTATGTTTTGGTTATTATAAAATTGTTACTTAGTCAGCATGGCTTCAAGAGGGAAATTACCTTATTTTGATGTGATCCTGTTAATGCGCAGAGAGCATTACAAGTCAGGTTTCTTTCTCATTGGGTACCATTTAGGGGGTTCACACTACATTGTCCTTGGCGTCTTACAGTTTTGCAGGTTACCTGATTTCCTCAACCGAGCTGGGGATGTTCATGATGGAGCAGACTCTTAAATCAAGAATGCAGATGTCTTATGATCATGACACCAGCACATTGACAAAGATTAACCAGGTTCTAGAACAGTATGGGGAAACTACTGGATAAGGAAGGCTGTGTTAATGAGGAGGTGGAGACTCCGCTCCTTGCAGAGTTCGAAAGGGCTGGGACAGTGATAAGATTTTAACTACCCAGAAATTGACTGGAGTAATGAAACTGCAGCACAGTCAGAGTAAAAATGTATACACCTACTACAGGACAATTTTGTGATAGACTTCATAGAGGCCCCAACTAGGAATGATGCTCTGCTGGACCTGGTGATCTCAAACCATGCAGAGCTTATTACTAATATCCATTTAAAAGAACATCTGGGTAGCAGTGACCATAACGTGATTTCATTTGTTAGCTGTAAACAACGAGCACATATGGGGAAAAATAAAAATGCTCAACTTTTAAGAGAGCTAATTTTCCAAGGCTGAGAGCTGCTCTCCAAGACTTTGACTGGGAGGGGATTTTGGCATCGATTAACACAACACAGAAATGAGTTCTTCAAAAAGACTATGTAAATGCTCTGCAAAATATATTCCCATGGGCGACAAGTTTAAAAGGCTAAAAATCCAAACCTATAAGGCTTACGGTCTAAGTTAAAAAAGCTATAAATAAGAAAAGAGCTTTTATTATCAAAAATGAAGGCACGTCATCATCGTTTAAACATTACAAAGAATACGTAAGAAGGAAATCAAGGCCTTGATTGAAAACGAACGACGGATTGCAAAAGATCGCAGGACAAACCACCCAAAATTCTTCAAATATATTAATAGTAAAAAGGTCTGGTCCAAGCATGTAGGCCCTTTACAAAATATTCTAGAGTGGGTGACTGGGGACAAAGAGAAGGCAAATTTATTAAATACCTTTAGCTCTGCGTATACAAAGGAGCATGGGGGAGCTCTTGTCCATAATGGGCATGGTATTGACACAGCTCCAGATGATCCACATTGGCTCACAATTGATACGATCCAGAAATATTTAGACTGAATAAAGCACCTGGACCGGATGACATACACCCACAGGTCCTTAAAGAATTGAGCTCTGTCATTTCAAAGCCATTGTTTCTAATTTTTAGGGACTCTTTAATGACTGGCATAGTACCACTGGATTGGCGTAAGGCCAATATGGTGCCAATATTTTTAAAAAGGGATCAAAATTTTTACCAAGTAATTA